TTGGAAGACGCACAGTACCGGAAAAACTTCTGTTTATCCATGTTTCAAGTTGCTCTCACAAACTGAATCCAGTCACATCTGTCTGTAATATAAAAAAAAAAAGACAACCTACCCCGAACCCACATTACCCTAGCTATGATCTCATCTGTTTTGCATTTGTACCTTTAAAGTACAATTTCAAGTTGGACCTGCAGTGAATTATATTTCTAAGCTATTCTGAAAAGTTAGGAATTAGAACATAAGTGAAACCACCAGCATACTGAAGATAAAAACCATGCTCACAGGTGAAGAGAAATGGGATCAATGGCTGCATATTTCGGTCTAGAAACTCAACTGCAACATCAAGTGTTATACTTTGTTTTTCCAAAGGTTACCAATCACTTGGGAAGATCTGAAGAACTCACTTTTACGCATATTAGCACCGGGCTGGACAGGTTTGATGGACAGCAACTGTGCTCGAGACCTACATGTACACTCATGAAGTCCGACTTACAGGTTGTTTTTACGAAACTGAAGTTACTATGCTTGAGGGCTTTCTTGCAACTACATGTACATCACAGGACTGATGTGAAATGCCAGAGACCTTAAAGTGGCTTCTTCTGGTCTTGCCAGTTCCTTGGAACATCAATCTTGCACTGGAAATCGTGGACACTATCCTCGTAGAGGAAATCTGAAAAAGAGAAGCTGAAAACCGACTTGCCCTATGGTGCACCTCGACCACAGCATCTCCAACAAAATGAAGCACAGACTTCCTCTAAATCTATACTAAATGCAGTTTTCTTTGATGTTGCATGTTTATTAGCCACGTACTAAAATTTTGAAAGTGTATACACATACACATGTAGTCTTTAAAATTTTGCAGATGGAAACAAAATTGGCAGAAAAGCTTTTCAATACAAAAACTTGCCTGAGAATTCTTTTCCCATGAAAGAATGCTCTTGCTATCTTATACGTAGTTCAACGTGAAAGCCAACTGACGTCAGACCGGCATGTGGTGGACATGTACATCTACAAAGCTCTTGTGAGGACTGGGAAGTGTTCATGACCCTGCAATTGAACAGCAGATTACCCCAACCCTTCCACGCTCCAACAATAACCCACTAACATGTTGGCCATCTCTGACTGATATATGCACATACCACAGGCACTCACAAGAATTTCATCAACGAATCATGTTTCATGCTAATTGTGTCTGTGCAGGTAAACTGAGACCCTGAAATACAGCACGTGCATTACATATCCCAAATGAATGCAAATCAAAACACAAATGGGTTCTCACATTTGAACTAGTGACAAAAAATTAAGCTAAAGAAACAAATGCAACTCGCGTACGAACATTAATTCAATATCAAGTGTACCTTTTTAAACAAGTGAAGCACCACGTTTCTTACAACCTACGCTTAGTAAAACGGAAGTCTGATGGATTTCCAGGACTTTACCTAAATGGATGCAAACAGAAGTAGGGAGGAACCAAACAAAGGCAAACACGCCCAGGCAAATTCTTTAACAATTTTTCCCTTTCCTACGCAATAAATCATTCCAGAAACATATCCCTTCATGCAGATCTTCTTGTAGCAATTTAAACATGAAGCATTTGATATTTGACGGAGACATCATTTCTACTGATGTATTTTTTCAAGTTTGTCGATAACTGATGCTGAATACTGAATCTGAATAATTTTATGGGTTGATTAATGTGCAGATTTGCAGTGAGCACCTTACAGTGAAGCTACAAGATAGGGTAAACATGACCTTTCAGCAAACGTGCAGTAAATGATGGGCACCGGAGAGGTGATGAAGAGCTCAGAGCTTAACATTCTCGAGTTTGTGGCTTGACAAAGGGATCCAGAGGGACTCGTGTAGCAGTTTCAAGGGAGATGTGTATCAGCTTGCAAGCTTAGTAGGATGATGCTTAATCCAAAGATGCTGTGCAATTGCTTCCAAAGCTGTAAAGTGACAAAATGCAAACAAAAAGGGTATCCTCCCCCCAATCCCTTCCTTCATCCAGACAACTCACGATACACACCATTTGAATATGGCCACTGGGTTAAAGAAGCAACCAACTTGCCAGTCAGAAATATGCAGACGTTAAAAATGCATGCAAGACCTTGGTAACTTCAGAAGGTATCTTAACCATGGCAAACCATTTAGAAAATGTGATCAAATTGTCGTATGTGAATTAACACAGGTTTATGAAGCCTAATAAATCTAGCAGGTTGTGATGCGAAGGGGTTAACTAGTATAAATTTATAAACGAGTCACAAAAAGTTGCGCTAGACACAGTGACAAACAAATGGTAAATGAATTAAATTGAAAACTTACATCAGCGTGGAGACAAACAGATGTACGTGTTACCATAACCCACAAAAAACTTGGGCAGTGCAGGGAAATCATGTGATTTGGCACCCAGAATGACTGCTTGTACACGTATATCGCAGGAATAATTGTGAAAAGGAAGTGCAGGACAAACGGTAGTCATATAAAGATTGGCTGGTAGAGAGCATGAGCACGACACCGAAGATCATGTGGTACCTGGGTTATTGCAAAAACTGGGCGAAAGAAAAAAAAGGAAAAAAAGGAAAAAAGAAATCCAACACGCAGGTAGAGTTCGAAGACAATCTTTGACACTAGTAGTGGTCAGCAAATTAACAAGGTCAGAATGATTCTCACAAGTCTGGAAGAAACATGTTTACATGTAGCAGGGTCTGCACGTTTAAATAAAAGCTAGAACAAGGTTCACCCAAAAGCTGCTTATCAGAGTGTGGATGAGGACACCAACACACGATTTTGTCTCATTCCATTAGGCATCAGAGAAGATGTGAGAAACACAAGGGTGGACGGATGGAGTGATTGTCAATCCATGCCAATGTCTCCATGAAGAACTCTGGATGGACAGGCTTGTGATTTCTGCAGGATGTGATTAACTTTGAAACAAAGCACATGTTATGAAGCCCTAAACCTAAAGTATTCACTGCATGTACATGTATTTTGGTTGTTAGTATGGCACCTCAATTTAACAGTGACTATTCCTGGCATTTTTAGTTTCATGAGTGTGCAAAAGGGTTTGCTTAAACGGAACATGTAGTTAAAATCACAGCATTTAATGAAACCAAACAAAATCCAACCGAGTATCTTTGCTAGTCGATTTTGAGCATGGGGTAAATATTGAAATTACAACACCACAAAGAAACCTGTCGAACTCAACTTTCTTTTGCATCCTTTCAACTGGAACTCGAGTGTTACAAAGATATGAGCTACATACAGCACAGAAAGCTTTACAGGTGAATCTCATTATTGGTAGAGCTCAAAAATGGAAACTAGTGAGGGGAAACCAACGCTACGTCCAAGACAAAACAGCTGCCAATCAAGTGAACAAACGGAACACAATTTTTTTTATTTTCTGGTATGAGCAAAGCAAAGATTCATGCACTGTACAACTAAAGATGTACATGTACTTTTTCCCAGTATTCTATTAAACTCAACACAATGTGATTCAAGCTCTGGTCTAGTTTTCAGTTATTTTACCATTTTAACACACAAGAGCACATAGACAAAAAACCTGTGCCGGGCAACTTGCTCAGAATTAATTCCACACGCTGCAGACTTAACACTGATGACTAGCGGCACAGTGAAGGGCAGCTTCACGCATCTTCGGTCGCCTTAATCTACATGAATATTTAAAGAAGGGGAAAGGAGAACCCTAGGAGGTACAACATTTTCACCTATAGACGGAACCACTTCAAGTCAAATTGATTTTTACGTCAACTGTTGAAAAACAGCTTACTTGACCAATGGCTTTGGAATATGCTGCAAACACAAAGCAAGACTGATCTTCCAAGGTCAGATGCCGTCCAAAAGTTTAATTGTATAGTTGATGACCTAAACACTTTATACATGAGCTTGGTAGGAAAGAAAGTTGGGATAGAAACACCAAAGGCAAACTACACTTTTGCCACATGTATATGTAAAGTCCGATTTGTGTCGATAGTCAAAAACTGAACTAAACCACTTATATCGGATTTATTTGTTACCTCTAAGGTGTACCCTGTATTTAATTTACAACTGTTGAGTATGGCCCTACGCATCAACCACGGTTGAAACGATCATTCATCCACAGAAATTCTTGCTTCACGCGCTCCTTTGCCAGTATATATCAGATCTACATCATACAAAAAACTGGGACAGAAAGATCCAAGGCAAAAAATGCACTGGTTTTCACAAAAGAAGATCTCGTTATAGCAAGTCCATGCGTATGCACTTGGGATCAGAACAGGTATGCACTCAAGGATCAAAATAGAAGAAAACCTGTTTGACATGGCCCTACTTGGCGACGAATCCTCGGAAAGTGCCTGCTGATGACATGGCCCTACTTGGTGACGAAACCTCTGACAAGTGCCTGCTGATTATGCGTATACTGCGGCGGCAATCCGTTTGAGCAGCTGTGATGCTTTGGTATGTCTCTGACTGTAATGAAGTTCCTCAAATCCATAGCGAATGCATCTAAAATATAAAAAAATATGTGACGGGGGGGGGGGGGGGGGACAAGAAATTTTTTTCCAAAAAAGNCAGAAATCTTTTTCCAAACAAGTACACTACATGTATGTACGTGAAACTTTAAATTTGAACTTTGCAGATCACCAACTTGTGGTCACACAAGTGTGGTTTGCAAGATACCATTAACGAGGCAAAGAAACCTGCGCAGAACGGTCCTGAATCACGCTTGGGCATCCTAGTACTTGTATCCGGACAGGAAATCCTTGGGATGCAGTAGCAGCAGACCACTTCCTCTTGATACATTGCCAGTTTGAACTATACATCAAACATTTTTAGAGGGAGAAAGAAAATACCCCAAGCCCAGTACCTCCTGAAGAATCAACTTGGTTACAGACTTCAAAGTTTGAAATATAATTTTCCATGTACACATGTATCTTGTTTTGGAAGAAACGTCCTGTTTCGCTTTCATTCCACATCAGAATTTTGATGAAACTCTTTGCTTCAACTTCGAATGAATACATGTACTTAACATTTTGGAAATTCTTGCAAACTCTGCGGGCATCTGAATCTTGATCAGTAATCTAGCAATTCCTGGCTCTTCTGGAAATTCTTTTGCTCATGACTGACTTGACAGGTAGACTTTCAGCATGTTACCCTGGAAGAAATATCATTGGAACAAAACACCCAAAACCCAGCATCTCATGCAGAATTAAGTTCGTCCAATACTTCGAAGTTAGAAAATAATTTCATTGGAATATTTTGAAGAAGATCTCATTTGGCTTGTATTCCACGCCTGAATTTTCATTTTTTGGCTTCACCTTAGACTGAATACTTAACACATTTTAGCACCATCTGTAGGCATCTGAGTCTTGATCAGCAATCGGTATCTTGAATTTCTGGACTCTGCTGTTAATTCCTTTGCTCATGAGCGACTTGGTAGGCAGACTTGCAGCATTCCCCCCTGGACTTAAATGATATTTGGAGACAACACACAAAAGAACCCTTCCCTCTAGGTGGGAATAATGTTGACACAGTATACAAGTTTCATTTTTCATGACTTCGCTGATTTGCTTCAGAGGCTGTACTTTATCTCGCTATAGATTTTCAATTTCCACTTGAACATTTCACAATAAGAATTAATTTCCGAGATGGATGAATTCTTGTCTTCAGCTTATGTGACTACATGTACTTCCAAAAGTGTGTCGTGGAGAGAATACTTTGACTAAATTTGATGTATCATACACTTCGGACTATTCCTTTTCAGGGTTATCACATGAACTTCTTACTTGGCTGGCTTCATTCTCATTGAGTTAAGCTTCAATTTGCAGTTTGGCATTTTCTGACCACTGAAGCATCTAGATAAAGAAACAAAACAGGCGGAATTGAAGGAATGAAATTCCTACTTGGCCATTGGTTAACTAGAGCTGGCAATCCTGATTTTTTTTCCCGAGTTGTTTTTCCCCCAGTGACATCAGTACAGTGATAAAATTGCCCAACAATTGTGCAATATTAAAAACTCGCTCAGACTTACCAGCGCACGAACAATGCAACTTAGAAAAAAAATGCATTTTGTGCTGGCCGCACAAACATATGTATTTCAACATATGTACATGTAACCTGTCTTCAAGTAATGTTTCAATTTCCTTGAAATTATAATACATGTACGTGTTATTGCAACCTGCAAAATTGGCACCAAGTGCTATGTGTGTATTATCATGTCACATGTGGCAAAAATGCCGTGTTGGGATTTGTAACGCTTCAAACTTTAACTTTGAGATCCCATGCTGGTAACAAAAACCCCACAATTGTACGAGCAATCTTGTGAATTCACGTGGTACACTTTAATCTTGTAAACAAAGCTTGAGTTTGCTCAGATGAAGTCATTGAAGTTTCAGGGTAAACAAAACAAAATATTAATTTTTCCCCAGAAACTTGGGTTGAGCAATAAATCGGGATATGAAAACACACCCCTTATCACCAATGCAAAAATACTAGCAATTTTGATTTTTCTTTTTAAATTATAGTCATTCATCACGACTTTATCCTTTCACCAGCCAGCCCTATTTACATGATTTACCGGATAGGAACAGAAAGTTTGCTCACAGGGGTAATTAGAAGGGATGGGAGCGTTGGGCAAAAATAAGAAAGGCTTCCAACATGGAGCTACGAAACACTCGATATACTTATTGTGTGCTGGCTACATTTCCAACCTATCATGTATGTACACAGGCGCCACACTATTCATTCATACATTCAAAGTAAACAATTATGTCCACAGTGACAAATGGATTCATATACATGTATGTAAATGGCACTGCAACAATCAAGTTAGAACATGGGCATGATGGGTACAATGACATAAGAATTACGCGAGTTGGCCTTGGCTACATGTATTGAAATGACTGGCAGTCAACCTGGAGTAGTCAAAGCTGCTTAGTTATCAGTGGCCATTAAAATGTAATTTTTAATTTTATTATTTTTCTTATGTCTTTAGAAGATTTACTAATTCATGCCCCACTGAAAATAGGCCTAGAACAGAAAACTGAGCAAATACGGCCAACCATACACCATGTCCACAAACAACTTACATGCATACACTTCAACATGTTCAAAGAGTTATTTACGACTGCCATCAAGTATGAATGATTCAGGCTTTGTATCATCTTGTTTTATGAACACAATGCAGTTAGGCCTACACTTGGTGCAACAATTTAAAAAAATGCCTCTCCTTACCATTTCTCATGTGTCTTGAATGTTGGAAGACCAGCCACAGCTTCAAGAGCTTGCATGATACTGCCAGAGGGGCACAATTTAGTTTAAACAACAGACAGAAGCTGACAAGCCGAAAACTTCGCTTTTTGACAAGTTACAAGATCAAAATGTACAACTGCAAAAAACCTGTCGAATATTCTAGATATGAACGTACACAAATGACGTACGTCTGAAGTTAACGTCAACATGGTCAATCGTTTGAGTCAATGCTCCGCATATGAACAACATGTCTTCCTACACTAGTCTTTGAAGAAAACTTTGTGTCGCCTTGGACGGTTGTACAGGTGCTGAAGATTCGTCGGGAAAACAAAGGCATAATAAACTGAAACATGATGGATCTTCTGAGAAATTCAATGTCTTCAAACTTGAGACTTGTTTACAAATTAAGGCGGTGGCCAACCATGCGAACGCATGCTTCGTCCGTCTACAATTGAGTGAGATAATTCTACATCGAACCAAAAAGTAGACATCACCGAAACTGCATTCTGAAGTTTTGCGAATCACTGAAATTCCTATCTCTAAGAAAAATCCGAAAAGATTTTTTCCAGAACGAGAAAACCCGAAAAAAGTGACATGATGAACACAAATCATCACAACCAACTCTTCCAACACAACGCCCAACAGACGCAATTCGCTGACACCCCCAGATTTCGTAGTTCCAACAGGGATTTTATACCATAAAAACCCAAATTACTGCGATATCCTTTACCATAAAAATATAGTACGCATCGCCAGACTGACGTCATGAACATCTAGAGCTGGAACAGGAGTTTAAGATATTCTGTGAATCAGCTAAAGCCCCCAACTTATGCATCTTTGGAATATTTTGAAATGATTTTATTGCAATTATATTGAAATTAAAATCAAAGCCACCTAACGAAACAAGTTGGCACGTATTCCTACTTTTTTGACCATAGCAAAAAAGCAGTTACCCATTGACGGCTGCAGTAAGTTTAGCCACACGAATTTGTAAATAAACATTTTGGCCTTGCGCATGAATATTGTCTAGGTGATGGAGAGCGGCGGCGCTATACGTCACAAAACCGCAAGGATACGTGCCCAGCTGCATGTTCGTTAAACGTGTTGTTACATGTAACTCAGCACACAACGAACAGAACATTCCGGAAATTCCTAAACCATAACAAAAACGTTGCAACACTCGATCACGGATGTCATAAGAATATTGACAACCCCAATAAAAATAGAAATTATGTAAAACGTAAGCCAGCATGTTGACTCATTTTCTACTTTTGGGTTTATGCAGGCATTGCCCTTCTTTTGTGTAAATACATGCAATGCCAAGTGTACATACAATGCCACGCAAGCTTCGTCTTTTCTGGATGGCCGCCTGTGCGGAAACTAGATCATTCCCTAGCCGCTTCAGAGCACTTTACATTGAAATGAAATACATCTATTATGCAACAGTCACCTCACGAGTTTGGGAGAAAAGATTAATACCACGAAGACAACAATAATGAGGGATAGGCAGGGAAAATGAGGGGCAGGCAGGGGCGGTTCTACCGGGGGGCGAAGGGGCAAATACAGTATTCCCCTTACCCCCCAAAATGGTCTGTCCCTCCCAAAAAAGCTTGAAAATATTGGGCTCGCAACGCGGTCTTCATTATTGCAGGGTCATTATGCTAAATATACACCCCCCCTATTGAAAGAGCAGTAGCGAGGGTCTCTTGTATAAAGAGTGCAAAAGGTGACTTCCGGTGCGAAGGGTCGAGCCACAGTAAACGCATAGACCACTAGATCACATTCAAATCTGCATGAACATTTCGTAAAACATTTAGTACGCTGCGACCGACAAAAGTATTGGCTCATTCACCCCTCGGGTAGGCCTATACTATATAGGGAATTTACCCACAGATGAAGAATTCCAGCATTAAAATTCTATGAAGCCATTAATTGATTGTAAAAATTCATTTGAATTTTACTTAATCTGGCCGGGCACATGTAGATTGCAGTTGCAATACTTGAAAAGAAAAGATAACAGTCCCAAAAAGTAAAAAAGTATTTTTGGAGCACATGTAAACAAATGAAGGTAACTTGAGTGTGTTCAAGTGTGCGTAATGCGCTGAACACGCTGCCATCCACCGTTTCTCCCGTTAATTGTTTGCCCATCCGGTTCGTAAGTTTGACGTCACGTAAGTTTAAACCACGCCCACTAAACACTAGCACTGCACATTGAGTTACATGCATTGATTGCCGTTTACGTGAACCAGATGTTAACGCACAACTTCAGCGATCGTCCAATGGGAGCCTGCAAATCGTGGCGCGTCTGCCTTTGTGACGAAGTCACGAACCGGATCCTTTTCGAAATCACGCTTATAAGCGCGAGATTGGTGGTCTATGCGTTTTTACACTCGCCCACAGATTCTTTATTGGCCGAAATCGCTCGTGTGACGCTTGCTTAGTTTTGCTATTTTTGCACCGCCACTCCCAAAAGCCTATACACATGCAGCCTCGCTCTGAAAAAAGAACTATATCCGTAGCAACGAACCCAGGCGTGTATTTCGGCTCATCAGAGTTGTAGGCTTGAGTCAGTTAACGTCGCCTGTCGTTGCTATTTTTATGAACCGTGACTTGACTTGTAACTAGGGCCCATCAGTTTTTGACTTGGCTTGGACTTATAAAATTGACTTGCGACCACCTCTGCAGCTCATAGAGTAAATCTGTGGGTGAGGTCTTATGAAACGAATACTGACTGCTTTATATCTTGGTATCTATGGGCATATCATTATTTTCCCCTTAGCTTCGCCTCTGGAAAATAATGATACTCCATGGATCACCTGAGGAGGGTTGTTTCACTGTACCACTCGAAGTAGTCAATATTTTGTATAATATGATGTCTGTGGGTCGAGCCTCCCCAAACAGAAATGGCCCCAGAAACGCGCCTGGTGGTAGGGATTGAAAGCAAAATTCATATGCCTACTCCTAGCAATGCATGCCGGATATTTCCTCAAAGTACCCGGTACCCGCCGCACATGATGAGATCATGATGGATAATGAAATTAAGATATCAGTGGATATTTATTTCCTAAATAGCAAATTTATAAAAAAAATTATGGCTTGTATAGTGTAATTCGACAACCAGAATTAGAAGCCATTATTGCAGGGCACAACGCTCGTGGACATGTGGTACGCGCGCGTTAATGCCTCTTCGACCAACAAGGTGTCGTGCCAAATGCACGCACGCGTCAAGTGAAAGGTGTTCTTGAGTGCCATATGCAGCAAGGTATGAGACGGAGAGACCCCCCCCGCTTTGTGTTGGTCATTGTC